GGAGGAAGGAAAGAAAGCAAGCAAAGGTAGAAAAAACAGTTGTGAACAGCACAAAGGCCATCTCTTCCAGGGAAACTGGAGAGAAGAAAATGATGGGATAAAATACAAAGTAGAAGGTGATTCATTGGCGTTTTTTGTTGTGATTGATATTATTAATTAGATGGTGAGAAAATCTATCTTGGTTTGATGAGAAATGCAGTAGCAGAGTGCTCTAGGAAAGCATGCAGGAATTGAAGCAACTCCTGTGGCTGCACTACTCACTGTCTGTGCTCTAGCTGAGTTTGATGCTCTTCCCCAGTGTTCTCATTGAAGCCTGTATGCAACTCTAGTCTTGCATTTGTCTCATTATTGTGGAGGAAATGTCATGTTTTGCAACTCTTTTTAATTCCCTAGACCAGCACAGTAGCTAGTATTCGAGTAGTATTTGAGTTGAAGAGTGTGTGTGTGTGTGTATGTGCGCGCGCACAGTGGGGAAGAAAGTGGTGGGAGAGAGGTAGTCCTGGAGAACTGAGGTTTAGACTGTGGTTGATTTTCTCCAAAACTTCCATAAATACACACCTAAGCTGGTGTCCACTTCTTTTCACTCACTTGGTAAACTCTCTGAGCTCTCAAATACCAGGTCAGGTAGTTAGGTGTGAGGTCACAAGAAAAAACCCAGTCATAATACCAGTGTATTTTCATAAATATCAATACTCTTGTGAAATGCTTCTATATAAAATTCTTATTACATGGGATGCCAGATCTGGTATATGAAGTTTAGTGCTCAAAACAACATTGGGATGAAACATGTGTCTTACAAAAAATGACTGGGGAGAGGTGGAAAAATCTTCAAGTTAAAGATGCAAGCTTGTTCTGGATGCATATGAAAACATACTCACCTAGAACCTAGAAATTTCAACATTGCCTTTTTAAAATATATACATGGACCACTAGGCACAAAATAAGATTACATGCTTAAAAATCAATTTTTATGTCTGAGTCATACATAAGAGAAGTTTAGACTCATAAGACATTTCTTAATTTGATTTAAATGTAGTAAGCTTTCTCTGGTTTTACTTTTCACAACCATTAACTAACTGAGATATATAGTACACAACAATGAAAAACATTCAGTGCCAATCTGCCACAAAGCAGTGATGAGCATAATTTATTACTAATTACCTGCACACTTCTTACAGATGACAACACAGAGATTGATGGATGCCCAGTCAGGATCCGGGGCTTTACAATCCGCACAGCTCCTGTTGGATTCATTAAACCAAATCTTCTCAGCTACTTCATAATCAGAGAGAGTTTCTGCTATTGATTGCTGCACAGCTTCAATCCAGTCTTGTTTCTCTTTTTCAGTCTCAGCTGTAAAGCTGAAACAATGAACGTTCCTGCATTATCGATCTCCCTTGTAAAGGCCAATTAAGCAGTATGTTCAGTTTGCATATTCATTTCACTCACAAATCAAACAACAGCTGAAAAATATGCCTGCTAGGCAATTCTGGGTTGTCTTTTCTAATAAAAATCATTTAATTTAACAAATCATATTTTTTCCTTTTAATTTTCCACATTGCTTATGTCTTTGTTTATGTATCTTGAACCAAAATTAATGTACACCTTTTTAAAAGAAAACATAAAATTTGCCTTGTTAGGTCACGAGCCTAAACAAGAGGCCATGTTTCCCAAGCAATGGTTATATAATCATCAATAAGAGATTACTGGAAGGCAGAGTTTCAGGGCTACTGGTATATTCTGCCAAGCAAGTATGCCATGATAGTCTGAAGCCACACAATCAAAAACATCCACCAGAAATTGTGACTTTTTTTCAGACTTAAGAATAGATTCTTTTTTTTTTAATTAGAAGAATGTCCACATGGTTCTAAGTAACTGGGAAATTTAAAAAAGTTTTAAGTGGTTACTATTCTAACAGTTTTCCAACATATTTTTAGCCATGTTCTGATTTATTCTGAATCTTAATGTTTACTGGGTGCTCGAGTGAATGAATAAAAACATTAAACAGCAGTTCATTCCTTCAAGAAATATTTACTGAGCCCCTACAATGTGCCAAGGAACGTGCTACAGTGCTACCTACTTGGTGAATGACCCAGAAAAGTGATTCACATTAAAATTTTCTGTTGTAAAGAACAAAATGCTTTGAAATATAATGAAAATCACAGCTAACATATTCTAAATAATCTATAAAAATAAATGGCCTACATGAATTATACTTTCTGAAGCTCTTTGGGATTCTGTCACTCTAATACTGATAACATTCTTAGTGGTTTCTGGTTCTACTAGAAATTCATCACTGCCAATATATTAATATCTACATTTTTAGTTTTGGCTAGAATCTGCAAATGTAAAAATAAAGCTTGATATTTTTATGTAATCATTTCTTTCTCAAAATTTGAGCCAATGGATATATTTTAACAGGCAAAATGAGTAACCACACTTGACAGTAACTTTGAAATTCCTATTTGTCAGTCCTTTAAAGGCCTAGAGCAATTGCCTCTGACTTCTTCACTACCCTGTGATGTACTATTTGTAACAAACAAATTAATATAGATGAACTCAAAAGATTTTGACTCATGCCTGTTCTGTATACTAAAGCTTTGGAGTCATTTTAGTTTATTAAACCACATTAAGTACTTTAAGTTATCTGTTTCATTGTCATAATGATGCAACTAACAGAATAACATAATACAAGATATATAAAAATGCTAAAATATTTTGATCAATAGGTTCTATGAGATTCATTAAATTCAGCATCATTTTTAAGCTGGAGTCCCAGGAGAAAATAATATGGAGCAAATGTAATTAGGAATTGATTTTAAATGGGGGATTGTATTTGATCAGGCTAAAAGAAGATAAATAACAATACAACTTAAAGATAATGTAATATGTTTTCCTTTTATTCTTTCTGAGAAGGAATTTATCATATTTGTTTTCAAAAAATTAACATACAGTATGCCCAGTAACAAAAATAAGTATTAAAAAATTACTCAAATTTTATGAAATAAATATTTTTGCATGTTTTGTGATTATTCAGGTCACTTTTACAAGGTGTTTTTATATAGTGGCTAATAAATTAGATGATATGGAAAAGTAGGAAGATAATTTTAAGTGGCCTATGAGAGATAAAATCACCACCAACAACATAAAGGTGGATCACCCAAGCTTTCCTATAGTAGTGTGAACACAGAATGTTTAAAAATAGCTTACCTGAAACTCCTATAGGGAGTGATTATTTCAAAAGATTGTTTTGCAGTTCGGTCCACTTGCTTTACATTTGCTACATTCATAGGAATTATGGTAATGCCAAGTCCACTCTTAAAATCCTAGTTTGGAGAAAAACATAAAAAAACGATAAAGAAACAACAACAACAAAAAATAGATTTTGAAAGTATAATGATATTTTCTAAATTCCAATAAATTCTACCAGATTTTACTGCAAAATCTGTCTTACTTTAGGTAGCCACTCTTAATGCCTAACAGCACTGGGCCATCTTAAGCTTGACAGTCAGACTGTTGAGAGCATATGGGTTTCTTCCACATCAAAGATACACTGACAAGGCCACAGACACTAAACTACACATGCTTTGCTTCTGAAAGTGGGCCCGACATTCATCACCTTTTTCCGTTCATTAAAGGAAGCTAAATATTAACTACCTCTATGTGTCAAGCAGTTTCCTAGGTGGAAGAACCAAATGACACTAGGAGGTGAGCATCATTACTATTTATGTAAAAAGATGGGGAAACTGAGGCACAAAGAAATAAGGTTGCATGGAAAGTGCAGCCAGTTGTACGTAATAGAAAGATCTGGAGCCCAATCTGTTTGATTGCTCTTTCCTTATTTCACCATCTTAGATTATTTCTGCTGTGTAACATTATTTTTCTCCTCATCTACTCTCAAACAAAAGCATTACTGGTTTTATGCGGTATATAATTTTTACTTCATTTCCAATATTTTATTGCTTTCATCACCCTTCAATCAGATTCCTAAAAACTCCTCTAATGCTACTTTGGTATAGAAACTGCCATTTGTTCAAAATCTATGTTCAGCTTGTCTCATGAAAATTCAAAATTGTTTAAAAGGCTACAACAGACTGCATTCTAAAAGCATTAAGGTTTGCAATATATCATCTACCCATATGGATTTCAGAATCTGACTTATCAAATAATCTCTACACTTTACAAAAGAGAATAGTACATCAAAAAATGAATGACCTATGTGAATAAATTCAGATTAAATGTGCTCTGAATTCCTAAATTATGACTAAAGAAAAGTAGCAACAGTAAAGGCAGAATACAAAAAAAAAGACAAAACAAAATATTGGCCCATTTTCAGCAAGGACACTAGTTAGAGACTGTGAAAGAAGCCATTCATATGCCTCTTCTTTGTCTCTCCTGCTATCTAGGCCAAAAGTAAAAGTAGTATATTCTCCTCTCCCCTATACTTAGAAGTGGCCATGTGTTGTAGTTTCCATCAATAAAATATAAACAACTCCTGGGAGGATGGAGGGGGAGGGGCCAGAAAGCCTTAGAAGAAGAAAGCCTCTCACCCCTCTCCTTTCCATCTTCTGGGGCAGTAACTGCTGAAAGCACAGAAGCCATTTTAGAACTTTACAAGCCTAGGAAAGGTAAGTCTGAGGACAAATTCTTAGGTTCTAATGATACCAAAGTGAAGACAAAAACAGGGAAAACCCTGTTCCCTGGTAGTACCAAATCTTCCTGCCTACACCAAAGGATCTGTTAAAAACAAATCTCCATCTAGTTAAGCTGTTCTTCAGGTTTTTGTCATTTAGTACTATGTGTTCCAACTGATAAATAAGTGGGAAAAAAATTTTTTATAACAAATGTCCCCCAACTTTAAGAGTATCCAGAGTTTCCAGAGCCAGATTGTGAAAAAGCCTTTATTACTTTTTTAATATATAAGATTTTTAGTTAGAATAAGGAAATGATTCATTTAGAAAACAAATCATCACTTGAATTTTTTTTTCTGATGAAAGAAGATCCTTCTGTAGTTCACAAGCATGATGATTGGGTGTTCACATGCTTGTGTGAGATGTGCCACCCTAGAACCTTGTCACAACATCGGCACATTACCCATATGTCCTGAAAAAAAAAAAAAAGGAAAAAAAAGAAGGAAAAAAAAAAAAAGGAAAAAACGAACTAACGAACTAATAGATCACTTTACTAGGAGCAACTAGCCAGAAACTGAGAATCTGTGATAGAAAAGATGCAGAGAAATGCCGAGTGCTATAAGGGAGTGCCATACTTCCACTCTGTATAGTAAGCCCACTTAATGAAAAACAGTACTTAACATGTTATCTACCAAAGGAAGAAAATCAAGCTTTTCCGATCCACCACACTTTCTTAAGTTTCAGCCTATTGGTACAGAGTTATACTTGGTTATTAATGTTTTAAATTCCCCAATTATCCATAGCTATGCTCCTGCTAGATCACATACCTGATAGATAAACTCCCAATGCATGTGATTGGGAACTCAAGTTCTCTTTCACAAGTGAGGAAGTAAGGAAGGAGTAGCAACATAAGATATTTTTAAAATAGCTTTTTGATAGCTCACCTTGATACAGAAATAAACTCTAGAAAAAACAAATGAATAAACTCTAGAATATATACTTGCACTGCATGTCCTTCAAACAATTCTCCATAATAAGGCAATTGACAAAAGCTAGATATCAGATCACTCCAGGTTATATTCTCTGATGGGGGCCTGGCCTTATATATACTAAGGGCATATATAATACTCTGACCATCATACTAGCAGATGTTAAGAATGACAACCTGTTATGGAAACTAATGAGCCTCATCAAGGCTACTGCATGAATAGATGGCTGTTCATCTCCACAGTAAGTCATAAAATGTCTACATGTAAAACTGTAATTTCTGTTAAAATAAGTGAGTGCTGGTTAACACTCCAAATTTCTCCCAAGCAAGGCAAAAATGATTTTTTTTAGTCTGGAAAATTGTAACCCACTTATCAGCCACTTACCATGGCCATATGGTTTTAAGTAATTTGAATATCTATAGAACTGACCAACATAAATTACCTGTAAAATACACACCAATGTAACAAAATAAATGTCGGTATTCTTGAGAGCTATCATATATGAAACAATTGCATTTTCTACTAAAAAGTTGTGGACATTAAGCCATTATTTTCACAGTATTTAGAACATATTTAGAATATTTCTCATCCCTAGATACTCATAAAAATTATTTATGGTGATCTCTCCCGCTCATCCAGTGACTCTGAGTCCATGAATCTGGGGGCAGAACCTAAGAATTTTTAATTTCCAAAACAAAAGTAAAACCTCATGGCTTTCATATGTGGTCAATGCCAAGAATCACTGATTTAGATAGCAGAACCAGTTGCATCATTTAGATGGTGTAAGTATGTAATATTTAACTATCAAGACATAAATACTTTTCTCTTTAACCAGGCACTGTGGCTCACACCTGTAATCCGACACTTTGGGAGGCCAAGGTGGGAGGATTTCTTGAGGTCAGGAGTTTAAGACCAGCCTGAGCAACATAGTCAGATACTGTCTCTACAAAAAAAACCAAAAGGACTCAATTGTATCTGCTTCTGTAGAATGCATGCAATCAGAATATATAAAAACCACGTAAAATATTTAAGACTATCAATTTCAAATAACAGGCCAGAGCAGGGCGACACATTAGATTGTTGAGATCCTACATTGGATTGTTGAGATCCTATCTGTCCTGGGTGCCAACTCCCGTGTTAATGCCCAGAGGTGCTAAAAGCATCCGTCTTCATTAAGCATATAGAGTATACTCTGTAATTGGTTTAATATCTATTTGTGTCATGCTATGAAGTTTACCAACAGCTATGAACCTTGTTTGATTTTCTAAATAGCTCTGTGAAGTAAGCAGAACAGATACAGCCATTTTTTAATGGGAAAATTAGTCCTGGCAAAGCAACACAGTGCTTAGTAAGTACCTAGTTATGCCAGAAATTGTGCTAAGTCCTTAGGCTACACAAAAGCATAACACTGGGTATCTGTCTTGGGGAAGCTTTTGGTCTAAAAATGAGATAACAGAAAATTGCAGTAGTATAATGAAAAAAAAAATGCCTAGTGGTAGGGGTACTGAATCGAACCCACAAGAGAGAGTTGTGTTCCTAACAGGCTTTCCAAAGGTTGTGATGCTTGACTGGCCAAAGGACAAACCCAGACCAGTTTCATATTCAGGTATCCCTCTCTCATTTGTTCACCTATTTGCAAAGTAGTAATAATAGTAGTACCTACAGCATCACTTTTGTGATGCAATTAATGGAATAAAAATGCTTAAAAGAATGCCTGGCACACAGAAAGTGCTACACAGGACTAGCTAACTCTTGTTACTATTATTTTTATTTTATACTTTTTGAATTTGAAGCCAACTGAACATAGTATCTATTTAAAACTTAATTACAAAAAAAAAATACATGTCCTGTCCAAAAATAACTAGCAGGCATAAATGTTTTAAAATAGAATGCAATGTGAATGTTAAATGTTCAACTAAATTAAAAATCAATTACCCATTAACTACAATCTGATTGTAAGCTTTATTCTTATTATGAAAAATAGGCATGAGCCAGGGACAAGCTGAACTATCAACCTTTAAAATGTTATACACTGGATTGAAAAAAGCAGTAGCATAAAAATTCAGTGGGTAGAGCCATAGTTATAGAAAGTAAAAAGCTGAAAATGGATTCTGAAGTAAGCAATATTTTAAATTTAGTTTTCTGTGATAGAATGTAGGATGTCAAGAATCATGAATCCTAAATACTAAATAACAGTACACACACACACACACAATCCTATAATACTAAATAATCCTAAATCCTAAATAAGAACCACTAATACTAAAATAATAGTGCCTATTCTTGGCTTAGCAGATCTGGCCATGCAAGGGTGGCACAATGACCATGTGGGCCCTACAGGTCCCATCTGGGGTAGAGTCGAAGCTAAACCACCTACTGGCTGTTTCATCATTGGCTAGTTAGTTTATGTAGACCTCAGTTTCCTTATTCATGAAAATAGGCAGGTCTGCCTTACATGTATTATGATAAAGATTAAATAAAGCAATAAAAATTAAGGGCCTGATACATCCACATAATTCTTTCATTTGAGGGTTCTAAAAGCAGAATTTAAATATTTCCATTTTTTAACAATTACAGAAAGTATTTGTACCAATGATTCCATATGCAACATTCAGATAAAATTAATAATAAATATTTACCAAGATACTGAAATGGGTTATTCATATGAATGTGCAGCAACAGAACCTGGTGAAGACTACATTTTAAAACTACAGAGTGAAAGAGCAAAATACAAGTCTGACTTCTAAACAGAAAAAATAAGGGAGGGTTTGTTAACCCCAAATCTGCTGAAATCTCAAACCTATTTTTGGAATTACTGGATGCCAGGTTTCCATGCCAGGAATTTAAGAACTCGGTGCTTAAACATTTGTTGAAAACAGATGTGGCATTGTATGACATTGGCACCAGATTTCCTGGGAAACACCAGATGCAGAGTTTGGCCAGATACAGAATCCAGAGAATTTGAGGCCACCACCTCCATCCTGCTGCTCCTTTCTGTGCTACACAACCCATCGCCCCATGAGGTCTATTTAAATTCTATTAGAGTTGCACTCCCATGCCAGAACACCAGGGAACATTATGCTCGGGGGAATGAGGAGGGATGAGTCTCTTGTTACACCCTGATTCAAGAACATTTAATCAAGTGAGTTGATGTAGTTAAACCTCAATTATCATCAAATGGATACCCAAACTCATGAAGCGAGATATCTGGCTGTGATGAATTCATTAATATTAACATGATATTAAAAATATCAAGAGAAGATGGGAGACTGACTGTCAGCACAACAGAACAAATGGAAACCAACAGTAATTTTCTTAAATCTTCCTCATCTCCACTTGCAGAAATTCCTTTCAACTAGCAATACCACTTATATAACAACTCATCTATTTAAATATATGTCCATATTTGATTACCTTAAACTTTTGAAAATTCTGACTCACACACAATACCCGTAACATTTCAAGAAAAATAACTTACAAAATAATTTTTGTTCTAGAATAAAGAAACTCTTTCAGCTTTGAGCTGATTAAAAAACAGTTTACTTCCACAAACAAAATTTCTACAAAACAAAAAGTAACTGAAAAATGAAAAGCAACAAATAGTTCAGAAAAAAATGTAGAAAATATGAAGATTCGTGTCTTTTTTATATAACGAGCACAAAGTCATTAGCAAAAAAGCCAATAAAATTTCAATAAGTAAATGGACAAAGAAGATGAAGAGACAATTTGAGAAAAAATAATTTTAAAAGAGAATTGGAGGAAAAAAAGATAAACTCTCCTGTCAAAAGAAACAGCTATAAATGATCATTAATTCAACAAGTTCACCCTACCTATGTTTACTGAGTACTAGCTTATTGCCTGAGGACACAGGAGTAAATAAAGTAAATATTCACACTGTCAATTTGGGAATATAAAAATGATAAATCTAACACTTTTAAGGTTATAATGTAACTGGATATCTGTCACATAGCTGGTAGCATTTTAAATGTAAACCACTCTTGAGAAAGGGGTCATAGGAATGCTTTCCAATAATAATCATCATCACCAGCATTAGAAAGGAAGGCAAGGATACATGTAGAAGGTTACCAGAAACCTCATTTATTTATCTAACACTATATGTTACCCATCAGTAAGGTCCCAGAAAGCAGAGATCTTGTGGGTGTCTAGAGCAGTGCCCGGAAATGAGAAGATGGCCCCTACATTTGTCACCTGGATGAATCCAGAAACATGGTCACTAGAGTGTAACCTATACAAATCCAATGACACAGCTCATTTTATACAATCCTCAAGTAATAATATGAAAAAACTGTCATATTATAACATATCACAGGCATCTGAAACATAAGCCAAGATAAGGAATAGGGGAAAATGTGCAAAAATTAAAGCAGGATGCAGTTGTAAAATGGTGCTCCCTATTTAAGGGATGACATGTAATTTATGTGGTATTAGCACCCCACTGTTTTGCAGCATGGCAATTAGGTAAA